AGACGCTAGGAGCAAGCCCTGCACAGCCCCGCTGCCCCCTCAGCAAGGCTGGGCTAGATGACCCAGCCCCATGGCCTGGCAGGCTACCCTCAACCAGCCCCGCATTGCGCCTCACATGAGCCCCAAGCCATGGGGCAAGCAGACGCCCCTGGCTTCGATGCAGTCCCACACCGAGCGGGGGAGCCTCATGCCCAAGCCGACGTTGCACCCGTGCTGGATTGGCACCTCCAGCGCTGCGCGGCAGCTGCCAGCCTGTCCTCCCCGGAGAGGCAATTACTGTTAATGCCACAGGCCTCCCAGGGAGAGGAATTTCCTCCCGCAGGCAAGCAGGCAGCCCATGCCCATGGGACAGCGCCGGGGGGCCAAGCAGTTACTGATTAATTTGCAGCTAGTTGCAATGGGAGGGGCCCCCTCCCCCCTGTAGCTGGGCCCAGTGGCCTCTGGGGCCAGTGGCAGGCACCTACCAGCACCCGGCTGTGGCTGCACTGGCAGGGGGACCCCTGCCCCGGCCGTGCTCAGAGCTCCCCCCGCCTGTACTTGCAAAGGGCCTGGAGGTGCTGAGACTCCCGGGCAGGGGTCCAGACGGGGGAGCGCAACAAGGGGCAGGATGAGGAACGTGGCCTCAGTCTGGCAGAGGCATGAACCCCTCCATGCCCTGCACAGCCCCTGAGTGCCCAGCACCCGGGTGCCCAGCACCCATCCCAGTGCCACCCCTGCCAGTGGTCACTCACTGGCAGGGGAGGGAGCACCCATCCGCTGGACTCTGCCCCCTCCCCGGCCTCAGGATCCAGCCCCAGGGAAGGCCCGGGGCCCTGCTGCTCCCTGGCGTGGGTGTTGCCGGTGGAGTGGGCAGGAGGGAGTGCAGTGCTGGGCAGGCGCTGCCCCCCTCGACCGGCCCTGGAGGGCAGAGGGCCCGCTGGACTGGAGCCAACACCAGGAGGTGCAGGATGAGCCGGGGGTGCTGCAAGCTCCCCCAGGCCCCGCGGGGGATGCACCGAGCGGGGGAGCCGGTGCTGACTCAGCACACAGGACGGGATGCAGGTGTCCTGGCTCCCAGCCCCTGCCCTTGGGCTGGGAGAGGACCCAGGCATCCAGGCCCCTCTCCAGTTCGGGCTGCGCCCCTAGGAAAGAGAAGCATGCATGGAGATGCCCCAGTGAGCCTGGCCCGTGTCAGCCGGCCCAGAGGGCACAGCTCCCCTGGGCTCAGCTCGTGGCTGCTCCCCCAGCCCCTCCTGGGGAGGGACCCCTGCCTGGGCTGCAGCAAAGGGCTCGGGCTGGAGCCAGCCCAGCAGCTCCATGGCTGAGGATGAGCCACAGGGCGCTGGGCTGGGGATGGGGCTGCCCAGTACGGCCCTGCCAGGAGCCACAGCTGGGCCTGCAAGCACAGCCTGGGGGCGCAGAAGCCTCCCCCGCGAGTACCCAGCACCCGGACTTGGCTCCGGGCAGCACGGGGAGGTTTGGAGCCCCATGGGGCTGGTGCAGGGCAGGGGCAGGAGCCAGGCCAGGCAGGACACGAGGGCAACCTGTTACCTGCAGTGAGCCTGCAACCAGTTGGTCCAGTGGTTGGAGCAGGAGCATCCTGATGTGGCCAGCCACCGCAGGCCTGGTGCTGTGCCCATCTCCGCCCAGCAGCGTGGGGATGGGGTCCCGCCCACCCTGACAGACGAGGGCCAGGAGCTGTGCCAGCCCGGGAGAGGGTGAGGGGCCAGCACAGCGCCGGGCAGGTCTCAGCCGGACACCCCAGCCGCCTCCTCCCCTCCCCGGCCCTGCCGCCGGCCGCTTTCCTGTTCCCCGGCAGGAACAGAGCACTACTGTGCGTGGCCCGGCCCGCAGGGAGCATGAGTCGGCCTCATGCCTGTGAGAGGGGAAGGGAGGCGCGGACACGCACCACCGCCGGGCAGCCGGGCCTCCTGCTCTCTGCAGCGGGGAGGGAGAAGGGCAAGGCCTGGGACCTGGAGCAGAAGGCCAGTGAGGGTGAGCCCAGGTGCTAGGGGCAGGGGGCTCATCCCTCCCTGCTGGGGCATCAGGCACGGGGGAGGATGGACCCCAGGCCCCTGCCTTAGCAAGGCCCTCGGTCACAGCAGGTGAGCGTGGGGCAGGGGGATCAGCCCCTCCTGCCCAACCAGGAGCTTCCTCTGCACTTGCACCAAGCCCCTTCACCCCCACCTGACACCATGGCCACCCCCAGCAGCGCACGGGGGCATCGAGGCCAACACAGATTGGGGGGGGGCTAGGAACACGAGATGGGGAGATGGACTGCGAGGCCACTGCTGCCAGGGCTTTGGTGTCTGCCCTCCTGCCCCTGCTACAGGGCTGGGAAGGGACAGGGCAGCAGGCGCCCCTGCCCCACACAACCCAGCTCTGCCCTCCACCCACGGCAGACAGAGGCCCAGGCCAGACCCCCCGGCTGGGCAGGGGCTGCTCCGGGCACAGTCCAGAGACCTCCCAGCTTGGAGGGGGCACAGAAATGCCCCCCATGAGGTGTAATTGTCCCCAAGAAGTCCCTGCCAGGCGGGAGCCGCTCTGCAGGGCAGGAGCACAGAGCTGCAGGAGAGACGAGAAGCGGAGGTGCCCAGTGCAGAGCGCAGAGGCAGGAGCTGGTGCCCACAGCCACAGCAAGGGCCAGGACTTGGCAGGAAGGGGAGCAAGGGACCGAAGCCAAGTCACAAGCAGGCCGCACTGCAAGAGAGGGGGCGGCCGGGGCAGACCGAAGGGCCTGCGAGGAGCTCCCAGCACTGGGGTGCTGTTGGGGTCAGAGCGATTGGGCTTTGTCCCACATGCTCCCAGCTCGGGTTCTCCCTGGCCGCGCAAGCCGGGACATGCCTGGCCACCGCCCAGCAGCTGGCCCAGAGCCGTGCAGTGCCCCATGAATGCGCTCTTTCTTCTCCCTGCGCGGGGGCCTTGGCAGCACCTCCAGCCGCCACGCCAGGGCGGGGGTGAGCAGGAGCTGGTGCGCAGCGAGCCGTTGCCTGCCCGTGGTTCCCCTGGGCACCGGCTGCTCCTCGCCCTGCCAGATGCAGTTGGAGGCATTGAAGAAGAGCAGAAACTACCTCTGCTCCCCTCCCCCTGCCACAGGAGCTGCCTCCAGCTGCAGAAGGGTTCCTCTGTAGTCGCACCAGGGCTGGGGCTTTCCCCACCTGCTCTCGTGGCTGCAAACAGCTTGTACCGGTGGGTCCGGGGCAGGCAGCAGCTGGCCCTGCCTCTGCCCAGCCAGCAGCGCTGGGTGGCACCACTTGCTGTGCGAGATGCACTGCTCCAGCCCAAGCCAGCTCACTTGGTTTTGCCGCGGGCAGAGAGGTGCTGAGCAAGGTCCTTCTCTGTGTCCTTGGGGCTGCTCCGGTCTCCAGCCGCAGTGCTGCCTGCGGCTCCGATTTCCCCGAGCTAAGCAGAGATGCGCTGCAGGGAAGCTAATGACGCTTGTGGTAGGGGTGCCCGTGGCCTCCTTCCCATCAGCACCTGGGCAGCACCAGGATGGCAGCCAAGTGCCTTGGGCAGTGCAGATAGCTCGTGCGTGCTGGTCCCAGTCAGTGGTTCGGAAGGGAAGCAGCGAGCGCAAGACCCACAGGCCTGAGGAGACCCAAAACGCAAAGCCCATGAGGCAGATGCTGCCCACATGCACCAGCCGGAGTTAGATACAGCCAGGGCAGCCTGTGCCAGACCTGCTTTCCTGCCGCAGGGCCTGGGGGCATTTTAAACCAGACCCAGGGCTGGACAGTTTCATACTGAAGCAGTGCCTTACGAGACAGCCAGGTCCAGCCCAGGCCCAGCCCTGACCAGGTATTAAAGCCCTGTAGGCATCAGGCTGCTGCTCTTCATGAGGAGTCTGGAGGAGGGGACCTCGCAAAGGGTGGGTGGGCAAAGGTAGGGTCTCAGGGCAAGGGAGATGCAAAGCAGAGGGGGCAAGGGCAGAGCCCAGGCTTGGCGGGGCATTGCCACGCTCAGCCTCTCTCAACAACCAATATGGCAAGCCGGGTGTTGAAGAGCTTTGCCCACCCTGACAGCTGTGGCAGCCACGGGCCACGCTAGCTCCGTTCCCCAGGCCCCAGCAGCACATCGAGCAGGAGCCGGGAACAAGAACATGGTCACGCCATGCTCCAGCTTCCCTGGCAGCTGCGTTTCCCACCCGTGCCAGGGCGGAGAGCACCTATAGCCACGCGCCCCTTGCAGGGGCAGCTCTGGGAACCCGCTTGCTCCAGGCATCCAAACTCCCTCCACAACCCCCCCCCCCCCCCAAGCTGAAGGCAGCAGCTGCTCTGGCACAAGAGATCAATCGGGGACACTTTGGTCTCCGCTCCTGAGTCCCCGCAGCTGCTTACCTGGGGGACAGGGCTCCCCTACACCTGGCTCAGGACCACTTAGCACTTATCCTGAATGAGGCTTTGCAAAGGGATGAGCCTGGCAAGGGTTGGGATGATGGGGGCACTGGCAGGTTCTCCACGTGGCTCAGCAGTGCCCGAGCTGGCGCAGAACAGTGCAGAGGTGACCTGTGCTCCATCCCTGTGGCAAGCACAGCAGGTCCCTGCCTGCACCATGTAACAGGAGATGCTGCCAAGGCTGCTTGATTCAGCACCCACAGCTCTGCTGCGCCAAGGCACCGTGTGCCTGAGGGCGAGTGCCGTGGGATTGCTCAGGCTGAGTAATTACTTCCCTTTCACTGAGCCGTGGAAGGGCTGGGCCAGGATGGAGTCAGCCTCAGGGGACAGCAGCTTACTCCCAAGCTGCTCACCTGCATGCAGTCTGCTGGAGCAGTTGGAAGCAGAAAGCACCTGCCCACAGGCTGCCCTCCAGGCAGTGCATGGCGCTCAAGTGCCTCTGACATCTTTAATCACAAATCCCCAGAGAGCAAGCATCACCCATTGTTCCTGACAGCGCACCCTAGCCAGGGGGCAGGCACCATGCAGAAGTAGGGGAGGGTAAACAGGAGAGGCCAGGCCAGTAATGAGAAGCACAGCAATGGCCCCCAAGAGCAAAGGCTTTGGATTTGAAACCAGCCAGAAGGCCGTTCTGAAATTCATTATGTTTATTACTAGATCAAATTGAAAACAATACATAGGCTGCCAGAGTCTTGTTTCCACCTTCTGTTTGCATTAAAAAACCCCCAAGCACAAGGACCAACGCAGAGAACAGGAGCCCAGGCAAGGCCTGGGGATGGTGGAAACATGTGGGGCACCTCGGCACAGGGGGACAGGCACCAGCACCCTGCCCTCCAGCTTGGACATGGCTCTGCACAAGTGCAGAACTAATTTCGCTCTGGTTCAGAGCCCTGCACCATCCCAAGAGCGGGGGCTAGGAGAACAGGTGTCACCTCTGAGAACACAGTCCCTGCCTGCCAGAAGAGTCTGCTAATGGTGCAGGAGTTTTCCAGGAAGTCTCAGGCCTCTACAACAAGCATCAGCACAACAGAAGACTTGCCTTGGGAGAAGGAAAAGCTGACCTGCCAGCCTCGCCTGGGGGAAGTGTCAACAGCTGCATTCGAAAAAACCTGCGAGGAATCCAACTTGAACCAGCCCAAGCCAGAAATCGAGGAAAGGACAGGGGGAGGCAAAGCAACAGTAGGGCAAGAGCTCCCACCACACCTCCCGCTGGGGTGGTTTAGCAGGAACACAACAGCTGCCAGTGCTTTTAAAAAATAGCTTCCCATCTGATATATTTAAAAAATCCCTGATGGAGCAACACCCTAATGGCACCTGCCTGAGCCAGCAGTGACTGCAGAAGAGGGAGGTAAAATGTTCCTAAGGAAGTACCATGGGAAGGAGCCAGCATTATCAAGTGGGAGTGGAAGGGGTGCAATGTCCCCACACCAGGAAACACCGTGCAGATGCCATGTTTCAAGCACACTTTAAGGCATGTGCCCACAACATTTCAGTCCGAGTCAGAAGTCACAAAGGTTCCCAAGTGTCCAGGTGTGGTCAGGGCCCCATCGGTCACAGATGTTTCTGCAGTGGCTATGGCTGGAACGCAGGCCAGTCTCTGCACAGGGGATTTTAAACTGCAAACGGACTGGAAGGGAGGGTCACACTACACACAGCTATTACGCCACACAGCCAAGCGCAGGCGAGAAGAGAAATGGGAAGCCCTCCTTCTGGTACTGCAGGAGGCAGGAGACCCCAGCAAGGATGGCAACTGGCTTCCAAGACTAGGCAGCCACATCCTGGCATGGGCAGCAGCGCAGAGCCTGTTCCCAGACACGTCAGACCAAAGGGCCTTTCCCAGAGCTGACCTGGGAGCGAGATCCTGGAAAGGCAGGTGGCAGCGTGATGCAGCTTGAGAGCAGAAGCTCCACCTCACACGCTCTGGTCACTTCACGGCACAGCAGTCTCCAGAGATGCATTTAACAGGCATGTGGCGTTGCCACCTCAAAGGACACTATCCACGCAGACAGTGACAGCCCGGCCAGGAAGCCAGTCCAGATGCTTAATTTTGGGTGTGGGGCAGATGTAGAGAACATGCTCTTCAGCGACAGGCAGGGCGGCACTCCCCATTTGCTCCAGCTGAAGGAATGGCACGCAGGAGCCGCCCGTCTCCCCATCTCCTCTCAAAACTGCAGTCCCTGCGACACCTCCCAGACCTGCACGCTTGCCAACACTATGAATCTAACTTTGCCTAAAAAACTGGTACGCAGTAAACTATTCCTACACTCAGCAGAAAAGGGATCATTAACATCGTACATGGATTAGGACTTCAGTCACTGGGAAAATGTACAAGCTGAAGCCCCTGTCCCATCTGAGGATCTACTACTCAAGCTTTCAATACTGAATAAGAGAGAGTGCTCCCTCCCACCTGTGGAAGGCACAGGCAGGCCCACAGATCCATAGGAGCTACGTGCACCGCAGCTGGTCACATCAGCACCTGGCCTAAAAGACTTTTGGTCGATAAATACAGATGCAGTTTCCACAAACAGCTTCTTGCTTACAACTTCTCAGATCTGGAGTCAAACCACCGCACAGCACTATGCTTTATTGCTGATCACACGCTGATGCACCATGTTCCAGAGTAATTTGGTTTCTAGCGTTCTCATGTAACAAAGAAATGGTTATGGATCGGGGTCTCCCACGCACCAGGCTGAGGGACACCAGGCACATGTTACTGAGGAGCATTGTGTCTGGGGTAAACGAATGCCTGTTTTCCTGCAGAGGGAAACCTGCCCCATTCTGTCTGACAGCACTCAGCTATCCCCCTGCCTAAAATCCCTCTCATGGGACAGGAAAGTCTGTTCGACCTCTTAATGCTTTAGCTACTAGAAATGCGCTAGCATGTTCTCAGGGCACACACAATGTCTGGCTCCTGAACTCAGCAGTCTCCAACACCATTCTAGGCGTGCGCCCCACGAATACTCTACATAGGGTTTGCAACCAGTCACCAAAGCATGGCCCAACGTGGCAACACACGCGATTCAGAGCAGCCCAACACAACCACCGATCACCGTGTGCCACGCACGCTGTGCATCTCATAACGGACTAATCAAGCGACTGCAGGCAAGGGCCCGCAGCCCCCTGCAAAGCAGCACTGCTACAGAACTACTGCTGGGCTGTGCAGATGCTGCAGCCCTGTCTTACTCCAATACTGTGGTGCCTGGATCTCCACGAGGAGTACCAGGGACCTGGGATCCCTTTGGTCTTTATTGCGTTGGTGAGCTGCCAGCTCACGGCCTGTCTCTGGGGGCTGAATAGACATTCCCGTCAGAGGGCTGTGCAGATCGAGGCTCTGCACAGAGGCACACGTCATCACGGTAAGCCACGGGAGGGGACACGGAAACCAAAAGCAACACAAAAACTAGAGAGAGAGTTCGAACAAGAGCATGCCCAGCTGGAATTCATCCTCATGTTCCACCTGTCCACAAAAATGCCTCCCATCTGCTTGGCTTTGCACAGCCTGAGGGTCCTCCCTCAGAGAGGAGCAGATAAAAACGAGAGACTGGAGCTGCCCTAGACGGAAACATGGATATAAATATAAAAAGAGGTTCAGTTTGAAGCACCAGTAATACTGCCTGTGCAGGGCAGGCACGGCCACGTGGAGGCTCCCGGAATCAGTAACATTGTTCAACAAAAACTGTACATTTGTTATCATCCTGCAGCTGCCAGAATTCCTGACTGTCTCCCAGAAGAGTCTGATACCTGTCGGGTTTGTCTCAGGCAAGAAGAAACATGAGAAACTGCTTGAGGAGATGCAGTGTGGAGGCAGCACTCCCCAGCTGGCTTGTAGGATACGTGCTCAGTGGGACCTGACTGCAGACCAGGAGCCCACAGGCCTTTGCAGAGGCAACGTGAACTGGATCCTCCATCCGGCTACTGCAGAGTACTCTACCTTTTAAAAACCCTGGCTGTGAAGTGTCCGAGTTTGGCCTCAATTGTCCTGGAGTGTTCAAATCCATGGGGAGGTGAGCACCTCTCCTCTTCCTGCCCCAGGCACTGCTTACTCCATGATGGCCCGGTAGAGGGCAGGCTCAATGTAATCCTCCCGATAGCGTGAGTTGATCACCCTCTGTCTCTTCCTCTCTTGCTTGACCTCCTTCTCTGCGAAGATCTCCATGAAGCGCATGTCAGAAGCTACCGACTGCAAGGGAGAAGCAGGGATTAGTCACTCACGGAAGTGCTCAGATTAACTCTCTGCCGTACCTGCCTGCAAGCTCTGCTGCAGCGTGGAACAGAGTGGGTGTGTCCGCACCTCCCCTCCAAAGCGAGGGACAACAGACTGGTGTGCAAACAAGACTGCTACAGCATGGGGAGAGAAGCATCCAAAACCTACAGCCACGTTAACAGGCAAACAGAGCACCGAGAGGCCTAACAAAGTCACAGTGGCTTCAAACTTAGCTTGGTGACTACTATGAAGAGGGCTGAGCGGCTGTCCTGCAGGGGGTCAGTGCAATGACTCACAGGAACTTCCTGTGGGAATGGAGCACTTCTGGACTCAGACAGGCAGCCCTTAGCACCCATGGAGCTGGAACAGTGCTGTACTAATGCCCCTACAGCACCCAACACCTGCCTGCTTAGAATCACAGAATCAATTTGTCAGAAGGGACCTAGACAGATCATCTAGTCCGACCCCCTGCCACGGGCAGGAAGGAGCACTGGGGGTGGCAGGGGTCATAAGACCCCAGCCAGGTGCCTATCCAGTCTCCTCTTGAAGATTTCCAGGGAAGGTGAGAGCACCACCTCTCTGGGAAGCCTATTCCAGGCTCTGGCCACCCTTACAGTGAACACCCTTACTAACAGGCACTGCCCTGGAGCTTGGAGGGTGAGACAGGCACCCAGAGTCTGATGCCAACATCAACAGCACTCGTGCTGTGTGGCAAATAGCCACACTGTCCAGACCCGCAGGTGTCCTTCTGAAGTGACAAGGGCCAAGGACACAGGGAAGCAAGCTGGCATATCATGATTTCAGAGGAGAGATTTGAAGAGCCACACAGTGAACACTGGTGGCAGGAGGAATGCAAGGAGAACACAAGGATGTCCTGGCCCAAACAGCAGCAATGAAGGAAAGGCTGTAGGCACATCTGCAGGTGTGCTAGGATAGCATAGCTACAGGGAGAGAGCAAGACACCAAGCATCATGCTTTCAAGAAGGCAGATGGAAGATGCCAGATGCTTCCTGGTGCAAGCCCACCTTGCAGTGCACTTCAGCAGGTTTGCGCCATCAAGGGCTGGCTATTTCCAGAAGCCGCATGAGCCCTGCTGCTACAGAACAGATCCGTTTAGCATGTGCGCATTCTCCTGCTAGCTACTCACCAGCCTGGATTTGACTCTCTTGGGAAGTTCCTCATCAAGAGTGTACACGTCATCCCTCTTCACCATCAGCTGGGATCCATCTTCAAATTCCACCTAAGGCACAAACAGACACAGTCTTGCTTAGAGTCATGAGATAGACCCTATGGCTCCCATGCTGCCCTGTGTTTCACTTCCTCCTCCAAACAAAGAGTTTACTAAGCAACCCTCCAGCCTGCAGGCTTTTCATTTACATGCACTGGCAGTTGCACATATGAGAGCAAACCAGCTAGCTTCTACTGGGAACAGACTTTCACCAAACAGTATCACTAGCTCTCAAGAAGCAGGAAAGGGCATCACCCACCACATGCCTGGGACTAACTGGCAATGGCAGGAACATTCTCAAACCCAACTGTTTCCTGTGTCTTTGCTGGCTGGACTGGGTATTTCAGTGCTTCCCACGTTACCTCTAGAATTGAGTGGAAGCAGAGGGCAGGGGCAATTATAAAGACAAGTTTTGAAGTGATCCGTTTCAGCCCCTGAAGCTTCAACCTCAGGGCCTCTTTTCAAAAGAGAAGTGCCTGCAAGTAGGCAGCTGGATAATAACAGCCTGGTTTACAGAGATGAGAGCATCCATGCTGCTGCAGATTTTGCTCAGCACTATTGGTGCTCAGCACCTCAGAAAAAATGTAAGCCCGCTCACATGTACATCGAAGTCTGGATGGTTGTACCTGGCCATGCTGGCGCACACAGCCCTATGTATTGTAGCATCTGGAAACAGCTACATGCGAGGGCTTGCTGCTGAGGGTGCTGAAAGAAGGGCTTAGCTGGCTGCATGCAGCACTGTCACATTGCATCTCTAATTGGGCTAGCCTATAGCTTTGTATTCACCCAGCAGAGGGCTGGGGATGAAGAATCTCACCATTTCTGCCTGGTTATAAAAAAAAAAATCCATTCTCTGACTAGCCAACAGCAAATCAGGCAGGGTCCTCTGCACCAACTCATGGAGTATTTGTGCTTCACTCAGGCAGAAGGGCTTCATTCTTACGCCCCATAAAATACAGATCTCTTTTCCCCACAGCTCTCTCTTGAATCTGCAAGAACCAATGCTGTTTCCACTTCCCTCCACACCCAGAGCATATTAGATGATAGAACGCCAGAGGCTCCAAGGCCTGCCAGCAGTCCAAGTCCAAGCCTTGTGAAGAACTTCTAAAACTCAGCAGGGGCAGGGTTTTACCATGACAGGGAGCTGGGGATAAACTCAGAGGGGAGAGGAACCCATACCTGGTACATCTGGATGGCATGTGATGCAACAAACTTGGCCCCATAGACTTGTCCATCTGTCCATCTCACTTGCACAACTTCGCCTTCAGCAGGTGGGCCCAGCTGCAGACAGTTCCGACTCTTCACAGCACAAGGGGGAAGTTCGGAGGAAGGGAGAAGTCAGATGTGAGCAGCTTGTTTTGAAGGTGGGTTCTTGCCTTCCTTAGGTCCAAGCTGCACCTTCAGTTGTAGCCATGCAAGTACACCACCTTCTACCATGCCTTTAGTTACCCCTACTCCTAGCCCTGTGCAACCACCACAATATTGTGGTGCAGAGGCACCTTTCCAGGGCACCCAAGGCATAGGGGATGCAAACTGGTCTTGTGAGAAGCCCAAGGTCACTGTTCATTTTATTGCTGAAGCTTTAGCTACAACGAACAAATGACCAGTAAGATATGGCTTATACATCATAAGACCAGCTACATCTACCTGGCTCTGTATAGGGAACTGCTGCAGCCTAGTATACCACTGACATTAAAGACAGCAGCTAAACAAGGGCTAGCAAGAGGAAAAAAGAGCTCCTAAGTCAGAAAGAAGAAAAAAAGCACCCTGAAACCAAAATATTACGTTAGGCAGTGTAGGGCAGGTCTAAATGAGGAGTCGTCTAAAGCAGCATGTCTCAACCTGTGGGTCACGACCCAAAAGTGGGCTGCAGGAATACATGAGAGGGTCATGAACAAACTTTAAAAATGGATTCTCCTTTAAAGAAAAACGTGACAGAGTTCCAGCCTGCAAGGAGCTGCCTGGGGTCCCCCTTCCCCCACACACCCACCCCCTGCCCCACACAGTAGGGGGCTGGGGGCAGGGGCCAGCAGGTCAGGAGATGGTTACAAATAGGTCCTGCTACAAAAGGGGTTGAGAACCAGTGGTCTAAATCTACATTCCTCCTCTCAGAGGGGAGCACTTCCTACTCCAGGCGTCATTGAGTCCCATATGGCTCTGAACACATTTGTTCCTACAGTGGAAACGTACAGAATGTTCTGCTGCACCACGCGCCCTCTGGCGGAGCAGCCTTCTCACTGTACAACATACCACAATGTCCTCTGGATAGAGGTTGTCACTGAACGAGCCGTCATCAAAGTTGACTTCGTAGAAGGTTTCCTTTGTTAGGCTGACCACTTCACACTGATAGAAGCGGCCGTTCTTGTGCTTGCTGATGACTATCTGGCCAGGCGAGAGATCCTGCAGAGCTGCCTTGGCTCGCTGGGAAGAGGAAAGTTCTTGTTATACAGCTGACGTGAAGGACAGGGCTTTGGGGCACAGAACTCAGGCCTTCCCAGGGAAGCCACTGAACTATGTTGCTCTTATGCGACTGCTTATGCTCAGGACCCATTCACAATTTGAAAGCATTTTGTTTGTTTGTTTGAAAGTTTCCCTCCAGCACTTTAAATATTTACAACTAACCCATTTTCTGCAACCACTGCAAGAGTTTGGAATGTCACTTAGGCTGTGCAGACAGTTAACGAGCGCTTGCTCTTTAGAGCAGATTCCTCACAGCTTGGGGACCTGAGAGTTGCCTCCCCTTATGGAATGTGGCAGTTTTGTCTGTCGGGAAGGTTGTACGAAAGCATTACACAGTGATCATCAAAAGCTGATATTTAAGCCCTTGCAAAGTCTGGTGGGATTCCAGTACCAGCTCTGTACAAATATCACACACTGCCCAAACACAACATTAGCTTTGCCTTTTCACAGCACCACTGGAAGGAAGGCATCAAGTAACACTGATGCAGGAGAGAAGCGACCTGCCTGAGGCCATACTGAGTTGGTAGCATGGCAGAGGTCATAATTCATGAGTTCCTGTCAGGAGACAAGGGGCCACAATCTTTAGGGTATATTGGACACAAGGACCAGGAATCAGATGACAAGTCTGCAACGGAAATCACACAAGCCAAAGCTTCTCAGGGCCCCCTGAGATACTGGCCTGCTCTGAGACCATATCGCGTTTTCGCCCCCCCCCGGTTCTCTGCCCCCCTTCTGCATCCCCCATATATCTAACCTCTGCCTGGGATGGAATCTTATGCCGAAAGCAAGTAATGAAGACAACAAATGGCCAGTCATCAGGCTGCATCATAACTCCGGCTGCTTGAGCACAGCTAACGTGAAAGGATGTAGGACATCGACCATGGGAGCACTGCACACAGCAGCCAGCAATTCTCTTCCTCCGCTTCTTACAGAAGATGCATTTCTGCAGACGACAGGAAACTAGGGATTACTAGGGATTGCAAGGGCTTTCCCCCAGCAGAGGCCTGTTGGCAAGAGTGTAATCCACCTTCTTTGGGACTAGGTACCCTCAAATGTCATAGATTCACCTTGATCCACGAGAGATGGGCACTTGTTCTTGTAGTGGGCGAACTGAGTTACGCTAAGGCTCTTAGCCATAGTCTAGGCCTTCCTGGAACTAAGCAATAACATTGTATAGAGTGCAATGGAAAAAGTGAGTGCTGTAACTAGTATGGTGGGTAAACCAGGTAGTTTCCCTAAAAGCAAATGAAACCAAAACCTGAATAGGATTGGAGTACCTTATCTAAAAAGATGAGGTAAGAAACTTGAGGATTGGACAATTTGGGGTGAGAAATTACTGAAGTAACAGACAAGCAAAGGAACAGCTGTTTTCATGCTGTTACTCTGGGGAGATGGGGCAGTTGTAGAATTTCTGATTGATCAGCAGGAAAGCTGGAAACAAACATCTCACACACCCAGCGGAGGACCCGAGGCCGATACCACGGACGTTTGCTGCTGTAACATCTAAAGGAGCCACTTGCCAGGTCATGACAGGGAAGAATCTTTAATAGTAACCCCCAAGCACTATTACAAGTTCACTTGATACCAAGTCAGATGATGAACCATGTCAATCCTTGGGAGTCTCTGCCAAAAAGAAACCTATTGGTAACAGTTTTGCTTCAGGCATGGCAGGGATCTCAGGCAAATATCTGTGTGCCTGTTTCCAAGTGTCCAATAAAAGGGACACTTAACAATAAAACACAAACTAAAAGGCAATGGAAACTGTAATATCAGACTGTCATGTTTTATTGGGAGGATAAACAGGCTAGTTAGGAGCATCATTATAACCTAAGATTTTTTCAGAGAGCCAGAGTTAAACTGAGGAAAACAACTGAATTTACAGATGCAAATTCAGTGACCATTTGTTACAATCAGAAGGCGAGATTTGGGAGATTCAATTTGTGTTGACTGGACTATTAACTGTCACACCCTGGATTAGCACCTTAAAGCAGATCAAGCAAGTTAACACTCCTAGATGCAAATACCTCCAAACATTTGTACAGTGAACTCTAGTTAATTTGCCTATGAAATGATTTTCCAATCTCAGGCTTGTGTGGTTGCACTGAGCAAACTCCTAATAAGGATGCCAAGAGAAACAAGCCAAGCAAGCCAGACTACCTAGCTGGGACCAACCTCCCCCAGACAGGCTAGACACACATGTGCACATTCTGTCAACCTCATAATCTTCACCTCAGGCTCTACTTGACTGCTCTTTGCAATGGTCTCTTCTCCATTATGCTGCTTTGCCGGCAACTATACGCCTTCCATCTCTTCGGGTGCGGTACCTGCAGCACCATCAGATCTCCCAGTCTATTTATTTTGATCAACTCAACCTAACCTTGCATGGGAAAATGCTTAGTCACCAGACTATAGCTAGCCTAATATTAAAATAGTTTTGCTTTTAGCATTGACAAGGACAGTAGTCTCAGAGGAGTGTTAGCTGACATGCTTCTTCACGCAATGAGTTTTCCCTGCATTAAAATGTAGTCCACATCTTAACAGCAGTTCTTTTTGGGAAAGGAGTCTTAGTTCCCTTCCCAAAGAGGTATGAATTCTGCAAACAGCTTGGCTTTTTGCAGTTTCGTAGTCAGTAGCCTGGACTATGGCCAAAGCAAATTTGATAAAAGGCAACTTCTTAGTAATATTTACAAGAAATGCTTTTTCAGAGCAGAAACATCTCTAAATCTCACACCCTATTACTTGGACTGGTAATTATAAGGCATGATATGCAAGTACAGCCATCCATGTAGACCATGGCTGAATTTGGTGAGGCTTGTGCTGTTAGTTGGAAGGGAAAGGCACAGTATAAAGTTCTGTAGGTCCTTAGAGAACAACCTTTTAATTCAGGTACCAAGGGGCTCCTGCATATCAGTGTTCTCTGCTACTCCAAAAACTAGCTAAACCGTATCACCACCTGTGTCCAATGCCTAAACTGGAATTACTGTTAATGCCCAAGAACAGGGGATACTAGTAACAGGACTGATTTAGCAACCCAGATTCCCACCAGCAGATTTCATATTTCCTTCCATTTCTCTTATTTCTGCTCATCAGGAAAGTGCTCTCCTCCTCGGACAAGCGCAGGAAACCCTGTGGACAGGACTTCAGGGAGCCCCAGCAGCGGGAACAGTGATGCCCAGGCCCTCCTTACCAGTCTGAAGCGCTGCAGAGGGATTTTGCCAACATCCACTGGACTGCGCTCTGCAATATTCACAAATTTTGCCTCCAATACAGCTACAGCGCACATCACATGGACCCACCTGCCAAAAATCAGCAGTAAAAAGGCATCAGCCCTCATCTGAGTCAGGAAGAGACTGCTGGGATTTGATGGACATTTAGTAGTACTAATAAAGCATGCCAGACCAGCAAACAAACTAAAGTCTTCCACTGGCTCACAGAGCCAACTTGGGCCAAGCAGTATGAGCTTCCTTCCCATTCCCAGCTAGGGAGGTGCATAAGAGGCATAGACAATTCAAAGAGCTTCAGACATTCCACCAAACTGATCTGCTCCCGAATCCCCAGGCAGGTTTGTTCTAATTCAAACTAGAGGCAAAACATGCTGCACTAACATAAGACCCTGCCTCATCTCTTGGAAAAGATGAGAGTGAGCTTAGTGCCAGTTTTGCAATGCAGAAGCCATCACTAAACCTCAAACTAGTCTATTGGCAGTGGTGGGTTTGTGGAGCTCTAAGGATATCAGGAGCCTTTGGTTGCTCTATGGGGCGCTCTCTATATATATATCAGAGCTCCTAGCACCTTGTACAGATCCAGGAAAGTATGGACCCAAACACAAGCTGAGCTGCATGAAGTTAACGTTGGGGCAGTTTTGCCATGTTCATTTCTCCCCCAGCTCAGCCCCTCCTAACTATCAGAACATAACAGCCACTGCCCTTTTGAAAAAGTTTGCCTTTTGAAATGGCTCCAAATATACATGTATCCATATACTAAGCAGTGCAAGC